GTTCCCAAAATTAATGCTCGAGCCTCATTCCTGGCTGGCGACTCATTATTCCCACCGTGGCACCGGGAATGCTGTTCCCCACTCCCCCCACGGCACCGTCCCGAGGTGGGAGGGGGAGCGATCTGCCCTGCGCCCGGTTTTGGGGTGACTCACCCCGGGCAGGGCACGGCTTCCCCTCCCTGCTGACTAACCCCGGCCCGGGGAGATGCGGCTCTGGGGCGACGCGGGGTTTGGGGGCGGAAAACAGCCTGGAGGGGGAGCGGGGAGCGACGGGCTCACGGAGGGATGGAGGGTCTGAGCCACAGGCACAGCCCCGGGCAGTGAGGGTGGAGAGGAGGGAGCCAGATGTGGGTCATGGCTGGGGAGGAGGGAGAGGAGGAGGAAGAGAACAGAGGGGAGAGGGAGAGAAGGTGGGAGGAAGAGGGGGAAGAGGAGAGAAAGAAGAGAGGAAGAGGAGAGTGAAAGCAAGAGGAGAGGAAGGAGAGGAGGAAAAGGAGGAGAGAAGAGAGGAGGAACAGGAGAGAAGGAAGAGAAGACAAACACGAGAGGAGGAAGAGAGGAGGGAGAATGGAGGCCACACATGAGGCCAGCAGCCCCCTTCCATCCCCTCTCTGGCACCTCACCCCCATCTCACTATCTCCCTCCAGCAGGAGGAAGGCACAAGGAGGGTGAGGGGCTCCACGTGAGGCCGAAGCAGAGGGTGCTGGGCCCATCTGGATCCAGGCTCCAGCTGTGGACAGGGTGGGAGCTGCAGGAGGAGGAAGAGGAGGGCAGAAAGCCCTGTCCCTGCATTCTAGGACAGCTCAGGAGGCACAGCCACCACATTTGGCTGCCCCATCCCCAGGGAGCCGGTGATTCCCTTTATTTAGAACCAGTTCCCCATTCCAAACCACCTCTTTTCTGCCTGGGGAAATCAAGGCACATCCCAGCCCACGGCACCACCACACAGGCAGGCAGAGCGATGCTTTCTGCTTTTATTCAATTAATGCAGCAATCTATACAAGAAAAAAAAATAATAATGAAACCATGAAATTCCAAACCCTGACAGTGAAGAACCAAATTCTTCCTAAGAATCAACCAGAATTAAAAGATTCCCCCACGTCAGACTGTACATAAAATAATCTCTGCCCCATTTACAGCGTTTCACACAGTACTTCTCGTATCTCAAACTTCAGAACTGTACAACTTTGTTACAAACCACGCTTTTTCCTAGGAAAAGCTTACGGAAAAAAATATTGCCACTTTCTTTTTTATTTATCTTTTTTTTTTTTTAATTTTTATTTTTATTGGTAACAAAAAAAAAAAAATTAGAATCTTTTAAAAAACAAAATTAAAGTCAGCCAGAACTTGTTAAGTGTGGGCAGAGGAAGGAGCACAGGCGCTTCTTGGCCAAATGTTTCTCCTCCCAACGGGGAAAGGGAACATTTTTGGCAGGTAAAAGACTCTTTGCTGCTGGTGGGGGTCCAACCCCAGCCCCCCTGAGCCCTCCTCAAAGCCTGGCAGCTGTTTTGACCCTTGGGCTTGGATAATTCCACCACTGACTCTTCTGGAGATACGGGCAACAGCAACAAACCCCAATTCCTCCTGTTCTTCACAGAAAAGCAGGGATGACTCCCACTGAACTAGGGATGAACCCCACCTTCCTCCCCCTTCCTTAGGAAAGACAGTTCTCCTGGTCTGGGCTCTGGGTCTGGGAGCATGGACTGTCACACTGGATGTAGCCTTATTCCCAGTTTGGGGCTGAGCAAGGACACGTTGTGGGTGGATGGAGAGGAGGTCGGACCACACAGCTGGATCAGACACAGGACAAAGCTGAGGGGGTCAGGGCTGTGCATGAGCCCATCCCACGGAGCACATGGGAAAAGTTTTGCCTCCAAAATGGAGCTCTCCGCCCTCCACACTCCCACACCAGCCCCATGGCACCAGCCTGACCCAACGCCTGCGGGCAGCCCGACAGAGAAAAGGTGTGGGATCACCAGGAATTCCGAGCCACAGTTTCACCAGACAGGTTACAGCAAGGGATCCAGACCTCTGGACCCACGTGAAAAATGTGTCTTCTGGTTTCGAATCCAGGTTTCACTCCGATGTTGTTCAGTGCAAAAGAGTTAAAAAACCATGTTATCTACACATATACATCCGTGTCTATAGAAAATGTCTGTACAAGTGGGAAGATGGCCCTGCCTGCACGCTGGGGACTCCTCTCCCGAGGGATGCCGCGGGTCCCACTGCTTGCACCCCGCTCCCTCTCTCTCTCCAAGGTGTCAACCCCCAACCAGTCAGGTTGAAAACCAGGTGAGCTATGAGATGGTGGCTGGAGCTCCTCCTGCCCCCCCAGCCACGGCTGCCAGCTCTGACCCACTGCACGGATGCAAGGCAGGGAGGAAGGGAGAAGGGAAGAGCTCCCAACCATGGCATGCAGGAATTCCAAAACAAGCTGGGAAAGGATACTTGCACACATACGGACTGCACAAGGACCAGGATGAGGTGATGCCTGATACCAGGCAAGAGGTAAGACCTCAGGATGCCTAGTTCAGCCTTCAGCAGAGATACAGCCAGCACCTCATCCCATGGGAATCCTGCTCTGGGAAGCTGCCACCGGAAAGGCAGGCTGCCTCCAGCTTCGTTTTGAGCTGACACCAGAGTAGAGTATCTGTATTGCAGAGGTAGGCATAAAACTGGGAGCCAGGAAGGGAGAGGGGAGAGCCAAGACCTCCAGCAGTGACCACTGTCACTGTCACACCCGTGGCAGAGCCTGGTGCTGTGGTGGGCACAGCCAGGATGAATCCAGAAAGACAAAGCCATAAGGAGGAGAAGGGATTGCTGCTCCCCACATGCGGTTTTGCAATCAGGGGGATGCCAAGCTTTCCAAAACAAGGGGTTTGTAGCCAAGAGCTGGCCTGGATTCGCAGCAGGAAGCTGGGAGGACGAGGAACATCGCTTCAAATGCTACGTGTGGTCTGAAAATGGCATTTTAAAGGTTTCAGAAGTGGCAGAAGCATGAGCTTTCAGATTTCTGGGCAGATAAGATGGGTTCCTTCAAAGGCTCTGCCTGTACCTTGGCATGGAGCCAGCAGGGGCTCTCACCAGGAAAGCAATTGGATAAAATAATCAAGAGACAGGCACGGGGTACCTCAGGTACAGACCCCCACAGACCAGCACTGTGCTGAAGGTGATGGCAACATCCCCCGTGCTACTGTGACCACAAGATCCAGCCTCAGCAGAACCCCAACAACAGGCGAGCGCCAGGAGCTGCAGAAATAATCAGCAGGGAAGGAAAAGGACAGTGGGATCCAGATGTCAGCACGTATTCTGCAGGGAACAAATGCCTGGGTGGCTATTTTAGACCAGGAGCCCCTCAAGACAGCAGCAAACGGGTTTCAAAATATATTACATCTTTTTATTGCCAAGTGTGCAGACCACGAAGTGTGTGGGGGACACAGCACTAAGAAAAACTACAATTGGAAGGAGGGAAAAGCAGTAAAAATTTAAAAATAAGACTACTCCTTACAACTGCCAACACTTGGGTTCAAAGAATCAACTGGAGGAAGTTTTCCTTAAAAGTAGGGTTCTAAATATGGTGTCGGGCCCCAAAACTTTGCAAACGCCAAGGCTTTGGTCTGGGCTAACACAAACCGGGTGGGAGAAGAGGAGGATGGAGGCAGATGTTCTAACACAACTCCATGGGGCTGAATGCCTGATTCGTCTCAGCATTTCCTGTAGCAACCAGAAAGCTCCCTACCATGGGAATACAGGCAGGAGAAGGCAGGCAACTTCAGTGCTGGATGCACTGAACCGGGGCCAAACTAGACCCCTGCAGTGTCCCCACTCCCAGCCTTGGAGGGGACAGACCACGGCCAAGGCCACGGCAGAGCACAGCCAGTCCCTTGGGATGGGACACTGTGCTGGGATGCTGTGCCTCTCAACTCTCTCCACCTGAAAGGGGCAGTGGAGAACAGCTCCTCTCCGGGGTCCCAAGGCACACGCCCTCACAAGCACAGCGTCTCTCCTACTCCTCCTCGCTATCCCCAGCTCTGGGAAGCAGCACATACTCAGTGTGATCCCTCACTCGCCAGCCCCAAGGTTCCAATATGGATCTCAGGACAATGCTGGGCCATCCTCAGGGAAGCCAGCCATGATTCCTTCCTCCTCAATCACAACACAACAACACACCCCTGTCAGATCAGCACTGAGAAACCAGAGCTCTAGTACATTCTTCTCGGAGAGGGCAGCGCAGGGACACAAGGCTGCGAGCCCACGCTGGCTTGGGAAAAGGGTCTGGAAAGGAAACCTACTGCATTTAAAACACTAAAGTGCAACGAAAATGTCCTAAACCCTTTGAAATCAATCGCAGTAAGAGGGGTCTGCAAAGCTTCAAACTTCCAGTTACTGCAGGGCACCCTTAAAACAGACCCAACAACCACCAGGAAAGAGCAGACCAAGGAGCCCTTTGGTAAAACAAGGAACATGATGCCACCATGGAATTTCAGCTCCTGGGGTCAAACATCATATTTAGAACATTTGGAAAGGAAGAGTGTTAAAGCGAAAAAAACAAACAAACAAAAACAAAAATACAATTCTTGAATCTTGCGCAATGAAACAGTTAAACTTTTTGGTGTTTTCAAAAGAAATCCCAACAGACAGCCTGGCATAACTTTATCTGCTTCCTAAGGGAGAGATGCCCGCTCGACCCATGACTCAGGACAGCATGTGCACTGGACATGTTCCATCCTTACGTATGTCTCAGCATTCCTCCATTCATAAAACTCAAATCCTTCCTGTTTACTCTTCAGCCTGAAAGGAAAAACCAAAACTGAAGCTAGATGGAAGATAGCCAGAGGGAGGAGAAAAGTTTTCACAGACTGGAGGCCAATCTCATCAGCTCCACGAGCCTGGAAAGAGCAATCCTCAGTGCCGCCTCATTTTAACTTTCCTGGCCGGGCTGCCGTCCTCCTCCTCCTCCTCACAGTCCTCCGTGTACTCGTACGACCGTCGCCAATAGTTCTCGGAGCTGAAGTTGCTCCGTCTCCTATGTTTTGGTAAGAGGACCGAGCGCCTGTTCTCCTCTTTATCCATTTCCAGGATCCGTGGCCTAGGGAGAGAGAGAAAGCAGGAGAGTGAGAGCACAGCCAGGGTGGGATGCAGGCATTCCTCCTGCGGACACTGTCTGCAGTGCTGCACACTCGGAGTGACAGCCCTGCCTGCTTCCACACTGCCTTCCCAGCACCGGGCACTCGGCAGAGCAGGAACAGATCACCAAGTTGTACTTCCCACAGGGAGCTGAGAATTTGCTTTGATGGTGCAAGTCCTTCCCCTTCCCAGGGCAAGCTTTGGTCTTTAATCTCCACCAGGAACACTTCCAAACAGCCCAGTCACCTCTGGGTTTTTTTAAGTGCAGCTTGTGGCCCCAAGAAACATCCCTTGGGCAGTGGGGTCTGTTTCCTGCATCAGAACTCCCAGCACAGAGCTGAGCTCCTCATGGTGTAGGATCACAGCACAGCTCCAAAATCTTTTGTCCTCTCAAAACATTAGCACAGTGCAATTGTTATTTTTGCAGAACTGCCTCTGATCACTTCATAGCAGGACTGGGCTGGTGGGCTGCACAGACCCCCTTATTTTATCTGAGTGGTTCCTCTGAGAGATACCACTAATAAATACCATGCTAATTACCTGTTATACTGGAGTCTTTGAGGCCACAGGAAGAGAAAAACATGTTTTTCACACCCATCTGCTGCAGGAGCCTATGCAAGCCATCCCCCACACCCTGATAAGGTCACATCAGGCTGAAAAACAGCTCTGACAGATCTGCACATTTGTCCTGCATGATCGCTTCCCTAATCGGACACTGCGTGCTCGGAGGGAGGCTGCATTTGCAGGCCAGCTTCAATTCTTCATCCATCTTCCCAGCCTGCATCCAGGTGAATGAACACAGCTCACAAACAAGCCATCCCCACCCTCCTCCCTCCAGGACAGGTTGAAACAGGGCTGGGACCACACAGCAGCCAAGTCCCACGACCAAGGCGACTTTTAGGCTGTATCTAGTGTGCAGAGAGAATGCCACCTCAATCCTCAGGAAGCTCTGGAACTGGACTATCCAGGCCAGCTGGCAGACTGGCTATCACTCAGGGCTATCGGTGTGTTCACACCAAGGTGTTTAAGGGAAGCCTTGCTGCAGAGCTCAAGCTGTCTGAGACCTTGGCAAGGAGCTTCCCTGAAGGTCAGGCTTAAGCATCCACACAGTCTGGTTTCTCACATAAAAATATACCCACGCAGCTCTGGAATCACAACAGGTCTGAGAAGCTTCCCAAAAGGCCTTCACCTTTCCCAGATAGCAAACCCTCATGTTCTCTCCCAGGACTGCTTTCATAATATAGTTTAATGCAGCTGCACAGGTTGCTTGGCAATAGAGGTCAAAAATGATTAGCTGCAGGGAAACTATTGTTCTGAATGACTGCATTATCAAAAGCCAGCCAAATCTATTGCTTCTTCATTATGCCACTCACAGGATAAACAATGTAAGCTGCTTACAGCCAGAGCTCAGCCTCCACAAGTCTGGGAGCAACATATAAAGAGCTCATTCTGATAAAACAGATCTTGGCACCACAGAAAGCACCTGCCAGGTTTTTTTTAAGTGTTTTTAAGTGTGTTGTGCAGCCAAGGACCTCAGCCATGCACTGACCCAGAGACCCCATCCCAAACATTGCCCTTGGGAGAGATCATCCTACCTGTGAGCAGCATCAGGATCTGCTTTGCGATGGGACCGCTTTGGTTTCAGGATCTGGTCCCGGTTGCTTCCTGATAGACGGTCAGAGTTATAACCTGGTGGCAACACAGAGCTACTCAGGGATTTTGTTTCCAATCGAGGTGCATCTAGTCTTGTTCTGCAAATATTTAAAGAGAAGAGAATTTGCAAGGAGTTTCTACAGAACCACCAGTGTGCTGCAGCAAATATCTGCCTGGGATGTGCTGCAGGAGAGCCCTCCATCCCAGCCACACAGCTCAGGAGGAGGGGCAGGATACCACACTCCAGAGAAGAACAAGCTGCAGCTTTTTGGTACTTCAAGCTTCATAGAATCATGGAATGGTTTGGGTTAGAAGGGACCTCAAAGCTCACTCCATTCCAGCCCTGTGCCATGGGCAGGGACACTTTCCACCATCCCAGGTTGCCCCAAGTTCCACCCAACCTGGCCCTGGACACTTCAGGGATGGGGCAGCCACAGCTTCTCTGGGCAACCTGTGCCAGGGCCTCACCATCCACACAGGGAAGAGTTTTCTACTAATAGCCAATCTAAACCTGCTCTCTTCAAATTTGAAGCCCTACAAGAGGAAAGAGGAAGCACAGGGACACGTAGCCATGAGGTGAATGCAAGAGGTGCTGGCTCACTGCAACTCCAGTGGGATACAGAGCAGAGGTGCAGGAGCAGCTGTGAAATCACAGTGACTCGTCAATAACTCACAGCTCCAGTTAATCCACCTGGGTGGGAGATGTCCTGCAAAATTCATCACCACCTCCAACAGTAATAACTGCTTCCACCTGGAAACTCCCTCCTGCCCACAGATCTCACAGGGTCAGGTGTTCCTCAGCTTGACTAAGAGGTGCAAAGAGTTGAAGTACGAGTCACGAGCGGGTGTAGCAAACAGAAGCTGCACCATGTCCTTTCCAGCAGCACAGCACACGCTCAGGATACACCAGAGAGCAAACACAGCTCATCCCAGAGGAGAACTGCTGCTGGCCCAGCCATGACTGCAGCCACACACACGTGGAGGGAGGCAGCAGGAATGAAAACTCGACAGAGCAGCATCTTATCCCAGTGCTGTGACCATCTCCAAGCACAGCACAGTCACCAGGCTCAAGTTATAAACTCTGCTAAAGTCTATTTCAAAACACAGACTGAAGCCTAAGAATGGGCAAAATATAGTAAAAGGTGCTGGTGCTCCAGAGCTGCTGATTTCAGGAGGATCCAAGCTACTTCCCAGAAGGAAAGGCACCCTGATGCTGTTGTTGCAGTCTGTCTCCCTCCTTAGGATAAGGAGGGACTACAGAAGGGGTCTGGGTAAAAGAAAGGGGAAAATCACTCCTTGTTCTCCTGTGCTGAACTTTAGCTCCTGAGGGAGGTTTCCACAGGAGAATCCCAACCTAAACTCCCCTTAGGAAGCACATCCAGCTGCCAAGGTACACTCTGCCACTGGGGAGAGCCTCTTCAGTTAAGCAGGGCGATGCCAGGCTGGCACAGGTGATGCTGGGCATGGCAGCCTGAGTTTGCCCAGCATGCCAGAAGCAAGGAACACTTCCACAGGCAGCTGCCAGGCTGTGATAGTTCACACTGTTGTCCTGAGCTGTTCTCAGCTCCAGGACTGGACCCAGTCCAGCCAGAACACCAAAGGCATTGCTGATCCTGCCCCAGACAAGGTGGTTTAAATATCTCTCAAATACAACAGCAACTGCAGGGCTGCAATTCAAACAAACCAACCCTCAAATACACTGGAAGGGCAAGGGAACACCAGCCAGGCTCCCTCTGGCCACAGAGCAAGGCAGGAGCAGGTTCAAGTTAAAAAGAGTAACTCCTATTTATGAAGCAGAATGGCAGCAGAAACCCTCTAAAATTACTTTCAAGACCCACTTCAATAGGTCTCATTTCTATCCCCCCCTCCCACGTTACCTCTTCCAGCACCTCACGAAATTGAGAGCAGGTTCCTCCACTCTCGCTCAAAGCGCTTCCAAACCTCCAAACCCAGCAGCCCTGTGCTCTGACACGCAGGAAAACACTCAATATCATCACCCTACAGCACTGAGGTGTTTATGACCTACTTGGTAACCACGCTGCTCTGGAGCATCCTGCAAAATCCTGCTGCTCCTCCAGCTCCCACAGCTTTGTTCTCCTGCCACTGTCAGCGAAAACACGCTCGGAGCAGAGGCAAGAGCAGAGCCAAATGCAAACGTGTCTGGGACCCAGCAGGATCTCACATTCAGAGCTGAACATCCCAGCTCCAACTGGGGTGACCCAGCTGATCTGATCCCGCTGGGAAGCTCAGGGCTGATCCTTACCACAAAAACGAGGAAGAGGAGTTTTACGAGGCCGCGGGCTGCTCCCAACCCTGCCGTGCTAGCAGGCCACCAGCGGAAGTAGCTGCCTTCCCGATTGCATAACACACTGTTTCAGAGAAAAGTCGTGTGATCCGGGAATCGGGAGTGGCATTTGTGCAGTGATCCAGGGCGTGGGGACACAGCTCAGACAGGGGTCACCGCGGCCCCGCCGCGCGCGCACGGACACACACGGAACACCGGGAGATGGCCGCCCTCACCAGGGATAAACAGCAATTAATAAGCTCTATTTGGCAGCAGCTGGAGCACGGCCTGTGGCAAACAGGGAATTGCCATGGATTCACCAGGGCTGCTAAGCTCTGCAGAGGTTACACGGAAAGAATCACCAGGGGGGGGTTCCGCTTTGCTCAAGAGAAAAACCTCCGTGTGGTTGTGCCTGGCCTGTCAGTCAGGTCAGCCCACGGCTGTGTGACTGGGCAGAGACACTTCTGCTCTAATGTTAAGCAAATCAGACCCCAAAAATGAGGGGAAGGCAGAAGGACACGCTGCTGGAGAGGGATGGCTGAGCAAACACAGCTGGTATGGCTCTGGTAGGAGCTGCAGGCTTTGTCTCCTCAGCAGTGATGCACCAGGTCAGCTGGCTACACCACTGCTCCTTCCAGGATTTAAAGGAAGCTTATAAAGAACAGGGAGAGTTACTTTTTACATGGGCAGATAGATTTAGATTAGATATTAGAAAGAAATCCTTTACTCAGAGGGTAGTGAGGCACTGGCACAGCTTTGCCCAGAGAGGTTGAGGACTTCCCATGTTTGAAAGTGTCCAAGGCCAGTTGGACAGGGCTTGGAGCAACCTGGGCTAGTGGAAGGTGTCCCTGCCCATGGCAGGGGGTTGGAATAGATGAGCTTCAAGGTCCCTTTTTTGCTCAGTTGCACTTTGATGGCAGCCAGGTTAGACTGAAATAACCCAACGTTCTCAGCTTACAGAGGCTGGAGAAAGCAAGAGGCAGAGCCAGTTTAAACAGGTATTTTCAATATCTGCAACAGATATTGGGCAGCTTTTGCTTATTTATCCGAGTCTGTCTTTTCCAGGGAACTGCTCCACAACCAAGAACAGGCAGCTTCTCCATCCTAAATCCCAACCAAAGCAGCTACACGACTTGGAGATGCCTCCTCGTCAGCACTCGTGCTGCTTTTCGTTGGTTGCACCAACACCATGAACACAACAGCTTTAAGTTCTTATCACAACCCCCTCACCCCAAACCTCATGTGGCTGTGACCAGCTGTGGGGTGGTTTGGCTACATCCTGTCTTTCATCCCACTCTATCTCCTGCCACATCTCATCCTGCCTCCCTGAGTCTGGGCTGATTTTGCCTGGCTAATGCCTCGGGGCTGCTGTTTTTTCTGCCTTCATTTCATGGGTCTCTCTAACCAGATGTCCAACTCCACTCCACTGGCTTTGTGCCATATCTTCACAACGTTGCCAGGCTTGTTTTGAAACCAACTAAGCCATCCAAAAGCTCATCCAGTCTGAATCCACACCATTTGCCTGATAGCCTTGTGCCAGCCTGGCCAGAACCACGAGCCCTGCCACCAATGCCCACGCTTTTGGTCGGGTTTACAGGATTCAAAATCGTTGTGTTTTCACTTACAAAAAGATTTCTTGACAGCAGAATTACTGCTAACACCTTCTAAGTCACAGTCACCATGGGTCAATGTGTGCCAGTCACATTTTTTGGTCTCCTAGTAGAAGGAACTGATGAGAGAGGACATTTCTGGGCACAAAAAAAGGTAATACTTGAGGGAGTTTGGGGTGGGGTTGGCTTATTTTTTTTCCATTTTCTTAAGATGAAATGCCATCAAGACAGTGTAAATACTAGAACAGGAAGCATGTTTCTAAAACAGCTTAGAGAGCTTGGCTTCCCAACACAGACTCGAAGGACAAACCCTGTAAAGTGAGCACTGAATTCAGTTTGTTTCCCTCCCAAGTCAGTGTCTTCCTCCCTCTCCCCAGGAAACAAAGGCCATGCTACCACGTAAACTTAATCTGCTTTTATAGGAGATTCTTCATCACAAGCATCAGCTTCAAAGGACTGTCCAGGTAACTCACACAGGGAGGTATCATATGACCAGACACCTGAATACACAACCCAAAACAAGACAGTTTGAAATCTGAGCTGTTTGGAGCTGGGCAGCCAAGGAAAGACAGGTGTTTGGACACCAACAGGGCTTGCAACCCCAGCCCTTTCAATGAAGTGCTGCTCACAGAGCCAAGAAGTGATTAACTCTGCAGGAACTGGTTCCAGCTACTTCCACTGCCGGGTACGGCAAGAGTGTCAGAGTGACATCTAATCAAGGTGTAAGATCAAGCCAGCAAATTAACAAGCAAGACAGTTTTTAAGTGTTTAAACATCACGACACCACATCCACGTTTATCTTACTGTCTGGAGGGCTTCCACACTTACTTCCTCAGGATGATGACAGCTCTTCTCTCCTTGATGTCCTGTGGTCGAATACAGTGTGTGATTTCGTCGGCCGCATACCCACTGACAACAGAAACAAAAAGCCACTGTGAGAGACATGCCAGGCAGAGGCAGAAAGTGGTTTCCAGCCTCCACAACTCATTTTGGCCAGTATTTCCAAACTTCCACCAGGAATTCCTCCTCCAAACACCATTCCCCAGACACGCTGGAGATAGACTTGTAGGAAGGAACAAACATTGGGAAACAATGTGGACAGCCAGGGGTTTTTTTTGGGGGGGAGGCTTTAGGACTCAATTTTTTAGCATACATCAGAGGAAACTGCCACCTGCTACAGCGTTGTGAAATAAGACATGTGGAAATGCGTGTATGGATTGTAAATTCAGACAATTCATTTACAAAGAAATTAGAAAGCAACAGGGGAAAAATCAGCACGTTCCTCCGAAGAATCTCCTCACGCACATCCCTGAGAAAAGCCATCTCTCATGCTGAGATGTGCAGCACACCCAGACGTGAACACGTACCAGAGTCAGTGAGATCTGTTAGTCATGGAGGGGTGCAGTGATGGCAAGAGTTGAGCCTCTCACCCCCCTCACCTGGGCACAGGTTCTCTCAGCACCCTCATCCTCCCTGCTCCCCATCACGTGGCACATCCTCAGCCATGATACGAACATCACCAACCCCAACCCAATGCACTTGGGTTATAACCTTCAAACTCAGACCTGCAAACCAAGCTGCACTCCCAAAACCTCCCTGTTACAGGGAGAAACAGCTCCCTGGGCTGAGGAAAACGACCCCAGGCTCAAGCAGCAGCCGCTCTGGGCAGGAGTGTTTCACTGTGTGAGGTGACTTCGGATACTCCATGTTTCCAGCAGGCTGGAGAAAAGCCAAGGCCAAGGACGACCTCAGCTTCCTACAAAACACTGGAGCATTTTTCTCGTGGCTACTTCTGTTGTCGAGCAGGTGAAATCACAGTGGGTCCATGGAGAGCAGCCACCACCCCTGCTCATCCCGTCACTCCCATGGTTCCAGCCAGCAGGTCCGAGAGTGGGGCCTGCCCTCTACCTGCCGTTTGGAGAGTGTCAGCTCACACAGAGCCTTCTAGACTCCAGCATGGGAAAGAGAGAAGCTAAACACCTTCAGAGCCTCCTGGAACGCCTGACAAGGGCAGGAGCACCTTGAAAGGGATTTGGGCAAAGGCTGCCGAAGCCACACAACGCTGGCACACCCCCGTGCTGTTTAACCTGAAGCAGAAATCACCAGGCCAATGGTCCCCACCAGGCTTTTCCTGGCACACCAGCTGCCAGGCAGCCCTCAGAAGCACGGCCAGGGTCAGGGGCTGGCAGGTTATTCAGGACACTCAGAGCACAGAACACATCTTACACACGCAAGTCTTCTCCGGGGACGGGACCGGGTTTCCTTGATCTGGTTAGATAACCCACCCACTCACCCAGAAACACGCACCTCTCCTCAAAGACAGATCTACTGCTTTAGGAAGAGAGTTAAAAAGCATAAGTCCTGATCAGTTAAAACAGGGGTGATGTCCATGCCCCCCGCCCTCCAGGCACTGCAGAACACGACAGTGTTATGCCAAGGGGCTTACGGTGATGCTCTTTTACGTTCCAGGAATCTCTGCGTCAGGCTCCAGCGAATTCATGAATATCACCCACGTTAACATTCAACTTGGCGCATCCTCGGCAACACCCTGAACATCAGGAAAAGGTCTGTTTCCAGACATGTGCTCTCTATCATGAGATGTCAGCCTGGACACTCCTTCTCACTCCCCAGGCAGGAATCCCCTTCCCAGATCCGTCCCAGAGTGGCCCCAGGAAGAGTTCGTGGCCCCAGATGCACATAGGCAGCACCAAAGCAATAGCCCCAGTACTCCAGTCTGAGGTCCTAAAGGGCACCAGTCTGCCCCAGTGCCTTACTGGTGTGAGAAAACTCTGCTTGCACCATATCCCATACAGTGACGGTGTCTCTCTGCACAGGCAGAAAAATGGAAGAAAAAGATTATTTGGTTGTGTCATACTTATGCTGCCTTGTGCCAGCAAAAACTTCTCACCCAGTGCCCAGCCTTGCACACCCCGATGATGGGTGAAGGGGCAGACACTGGGGAAAAATACCCATAATGGGTCTACCCGCAGATTTCTTGCCCAGAGAACAAACCCAAAGCAATTTGCTAAGGAAAACCCTAAATTCCTGCCCAGGAGAACACCTGAAAAGGATATCTCTATCCCAGAGTGTTTTTCAGAAGAACACAGGGAGGTGCTGATGTTACCCACATGCCCCCCTCAACCCACCCCAACTCCAAACTGTCAGACCTTACACAGCCAACTCCTCCCTGAGTCTCCTTCTCAATCCACAAGAGCCACTACAGAACTGATTCACATGGAGATGAAAGTGGAATTTTTCTGTGCAGACATCACCAGAAAGGAGGCCCTGAAATTCTGCAGAGTCTCTAACGAGAAACATTTCTATGACGACACATCCCGAGGACAGCCAGGCCAGCTCAGAGGCACAGGGACCTGGCCCACTGCAGGGTTTGGGCAACTCAAGGCTTTCCTTGTGGCTCAGGAGAGCTCCTGCCACAAACCATGGATGTGACACCGACCAGTCTGAGCAGAGTTCGAACAAATCTCTGCCTCATCACCACTGGCACACGCAGAACTTCCTCTGCACCAACGGCTTGTTCAGAGGGATCAGGCTTTTTTGGAAAAGCATCTAATGCAGGCAGCTGCAGAGAGATTCCTCCAGCTGGGAAGGAAGCAGGTTCATCCTCCAGTGACTCCAAGCAGCTCTGATTATGCGCCACCAGGCATGCCTGGAGACAACAGGAGGGACACACATCACAGTGTTTCCCTGCCATCACAAACAGCCAGGAGATGACCTGGAGCACTCTCCAGCTGCGGGAGGGAAGCCCACATGGCACACCAGCTCCCAGAACTTGGGAAATGTTACCTGTGCCATTCATTCCTCCAACTGCAGCTGCACTATTTCCAACCACGGCGCTGAGAAAACATTCCTGGCAGTTTCAGTGCTGAGATTTGCTACCTCTGACAGCAGCTGCAGGGCAGGGATCCGGATGGAACCCCCCATCCCAGCTGGATCTGCATCCCCCAGCTCCCTCCCTTTTTCCCAGCCTAAGCATTGTCAAAGCACACGTTCCCCAGATGAACAGGCAAATTCCTCCATCTCCTCCCCACTGGTTCAATCGATTGATGCTTATCAAATTATTGCTAAAAAAAGAAAACCCACAAATGTGGTGCAGCCAGCAGCACACCCCCGAGAGCTGATGGGACACAGGACTAGGATCCAGCAGCACACACTGAGGTGATGCTTCCTCTTGGACTGGCTGGCAGTGGGACAAACCTGCAGGAGCACCTGCTTCCCAGGGCTGCAGAAGAGGAGATTGGAGGAGGTTGTCTTCTAAATCTCAAAACCTACAAAGGCAAATCTTCCCTGCAGATGAGAAAGGAGAGGAAAAGGGCCTTGCTGGAAGAGGGAAGGGCTCATTAGCAGGTCATGGGTTGGCTCAGCCTTTGGTTTCTGGCAGAGGGGCACAGCCCAGGCAGGTGAATTCTGTTCCACCTCACCTGTAGTTTGAGGTCTGAACCCTTTCCAGCAGGTTCATTGTTGGCAAACACCACATCCTGCTTCAGGGCAGGCAAAGTCAAGGGAGGGATATGGGGAAAGCCTCAATGCAAAATCCCTGCTGGGTAGGCGGCTCTGAAATCAGGAGGAGAACTGGGAACAGGCTGCTGAGAGCAAGAACAGGACAGGTGTGATCTGGGGACAGCCTGAGAACGCTGTGAGGTCAAAGAGAGGGATCCAACAGCTTTCCCTTAAATCCTCCGGACTTCCACAGGCTACCCTGGCTTCCCCAAAAGGCAGCAGGCCAGGAGCAGCCACTGACCCAGCAGGATTTGAATCCCAGACATTACAGGCATGCCACTTCTATCTGCACCCATTCCCCATCTCCAGGGCAACTGCCTCCAGCAACTGTTTACCCACAGCAGAAAACGCCAAGTTTGGGGAGTTGACTTAATCATAACCAAGGGATGGATCTGGTGATACACCCCTGAGAGCCTACCAACAATCTGCACCTCTCCTGCTCCTCCTAAACTGTTGGGGTTAGAGGGGAGGTAAGGAGATCTGCTGTGAGGCAAAGATTTCGATTCCAGCCAGGATCATATCAAAGCAGAACAATCACTTTGGCAGAATCTCATCTTAAGTGAGTGCTAAGTATCTGCTAATTGCTGTACCAAAATTGAAATAATCCATCCTAAAGTCTATTATTTGTTGGAAAGCAGAACATCTGACCGTGATGAAGCGGCAGCAGCGGGTAAAGGAGAAAGCAGCCCTTCGATTTGCAGGGAAAAGACACTGGAGAGAAAAGATACTTCATTTGGTTTGTGCAGTTGCTTCAGCCACGTTAATAAACTGGTTTCAGCAGCTGGGTGACGCTGGTCAACAACCCAGAGACCCCGGGAGACACGACACGTCAATCCTGGGAGCCCTGAGCCAGTGCCTCTTCCCAGCAGTTCTGAGGGAAGAGCAAGGTCTGGGACAAGAAAACATCATTCTCTGGTCCTGGAGCAGTGAAAGCACCTCTTCTTCCTCCCACCATCCTCCACTGCAGAGTCCCAATCCTCCTGCAGACATAAGGCCATGAGTTTTCCGAGTGGCTTTGACTGCAAGACTCGAGGCTGACCTCTGTTAGGTTATAAAAAATAAAAAAAACAATGCCTCTGGCTGTGAAAGAAAGAATAACTATTTATCCAGACCCAACGGGGAAAGACAGCAGAGAGATTCTCATCACCAGCAGGAAAATTAGGGTAGAAAGTTTCCCTCCTGGTGTCTTGGGGAAGTGAGGGAGCGGAGTGGCTGCCTTACACCCGGCAGTCTCCATCCCTAGGGTGAATGGAACTTGCTCTGCAGTAAAAGGACATGGGGCAGGATGAGTCCCCTCGGGTCCTATTTCACAAAATCACCCTGACCTCTGCCCCCTCCGCCCTGGTCAACCCACTAGAGAGAGAGAAAACGTCCCCAGTGCTGTTCCCGATTCCCTCCACAGCCCCCCTCATCTCTGGCTAATCCACAGAAGTTACCTAACACCGGGGTATGGCGAGGATTAGTTAATGTTTGTGCAGCTTTTCCGAGATAAAAGCTACGCGAGATCTCAGCATTTATTATTGATGCACCAGTCAAGGAGGCCGTGTGTATGTGGGGGGAAAAATTCCTTCCCGAACCCTGCGGCGATCACTTTACAAGCCAAAGCAAGGGATTGTGTTACAGCCTGGGAGCCCAGAAAACCGGCCTGGACCTTCACCAGCCCAAAAAATAGCCACTCAAACGAGGATAAGTTGGTAGCTCAGAGCACTGCTGGCAGGGTCCCGGTGATCCCTGCTCCTGGCAAGGAGCACTCTGACCTTCAGGGATACAAGGAACTGGCAGCCCTGGTGCCAGGCTTCGAGCTGCCCTCCCCAGGAGCTGGACACTGGTGGGTCCGTACGCTCCAGTCCTGCCTGTCCTCTTACCTTCTTGTCCCCTCACCTGCCTGCTCTCCCTCCCAGCCCGTGCCAGGAAGGCAGCGGGATTAGGAAGCAGGCGTTTCCCAGTGCCAATCCCAGCTTTACTGCCGACCAGCTGCATGACCTTGGGCAGGTCATTCCACCTCCACAGCTCTTCCTCATCACACGTAAAGTCCTTTCCTGCCTGTGACCTGCTGTGCTTCCAAGTGACAATCCCACAGGACTCTGCACTCGGGTCCTGGTCTCCCTATCGTCACCAGGTAGGGAAGGGTTCAGTATTCCCAGTTTACAGATTGGGAAGACAAGGCCATTCACACCTCCTCTACACGTTTAAGGTCAGGTCAGGGAGGCACTGGCCGAGCTAAGAATAGTCCCAGGAGTCCAGTCCCAACCAGCTGCTCAGTTAACAGTTAAAATAACACGTCTGACCACTCTTGGGCACAGGATCCATTTTGTGTTTCGACGTGTTATTTTAACCATTTACGGGAAACTACAGCTAAGCTCAGCTCGGCGAGTGGCCACACTCCCACCAGGACTCGCCTCAAGCCCCATGGAGAGGGCACCCTCCCAAATCCTCACCCACCACAGCAGCAGGACCGCCCCCAAATCCCTGCCTTACCCCTTCCACCACAGTGAAACCCTGTGCGTGTCTACAGGCGAGGGAGATGGAGCCCGAGGCGCCGTCGGGGCGCATCCACGAGCCTCGTGATCCGCGTTACACAACCGAGCCCCGGCAACGCGGGCGAGTTACCTGAGCACCGTGACGCTTCCTCTCTTCACGGGCAGGAAGAGAACGGGCTCCGAGACCCTGATGGGCTTGAACTGGAATTTACACCCGAAGCAGAGCGCCGAGTCGCTGAAGAAGGAGACGGACACGATGGGCCTCTCAAAGATATGGATGGGGTCAACGTGGGAGACAATGCAGCCCCCCGGCTGGTAGTCGTTGATGACGGCACTGTTCACAAAGCCCTCGGGGATCACCCGGTGCTCCACCAGCTTCCTGATCACCAGGTCGTGCACCCACTCGGGGATGGCGTCCACCTCCCCCCGCGGGTACAGCCGCTCCTGGCCGGGCCCTCTCCTCTGCAGCTGGGACCCGTAGGTGTAGCCTTCCCCGAAAAAATACTTGTTCCGCAGCGGCGCCCGGTCCACCGTGTGCTCCTTGTAGAGCCCCTTCTCGGCCCGGGACACCACGTCCTCGATGCGCGCCTCGATCTTGGCGCACTCCTCGGCGCTGAACAGGCGAAGCTGGCGGATGCCGCTCTTCACTTTCCGGGCTTCCTCCTCCTCCTTCTGCTCCTCGTAGTCGCTGGGCTCGGAGCCGGAGTCCTCCTGGTGCCGCCGCTTGCGGTCGTAGGGGGGCTCGGG